AGAAGTGCCTTTTGTTGCAGTCAAGTAACAATACACCCCACAATGTTCATACAAATAAAATTAATTAAGTTAAATTAAAACCCTACAAGCATCCTAGTCCCAGAAAACATTCTTTAAAGTTTTTTTGTTTTATCTTTTATGAAATTAAATATTGAGTGAAATCTACAAAAAAATAAATCAATAAATAAAACAATCCTCCATATTCATCTAGACTTGAAAAACTCAAAATCAAATCCCACACTTTCTAATACGGTGAAGTAAAAAAAAAAAAGAAACAAATGCAAAGCGTTACAATAGCATCTGTGAGAAACAAAGGAGAGGAAAATGTGGATATATGGCAAAATCTCACAAACACCTAATTTTACATCATCATTGTCATTAAATCAAACATCTAAATCACATCACTTGATTATCATTTCCAACTTAGAACAGGAGCAAAGCTGTCAACCAGACGAGACGGAGCAAAGTACATGTTTTGGGAAAGCTGAGTTCTTTTAGTGTTTGCAGAAAAATGCTAAATAAGTCTTTAGAGAAAGGTTTGATTATCATTTTTGAACAAGCATAAAAAAAAAGACAATATATTATAAAATCCTCTATAAAATGGAAGAAAAAAAAATCTGGAATAGGTATTGTTTTCCAGACATACGGCTCTTGAAATCACTATTCCAAATTAATACATGTTGTAATTATACTTAAAAGTACATGCTGTCAAGGGAGCGTGGTGGACTTTATAGCAAACTCGGTTAACTGACCATTTGGACAGATGATCACTACTTTTCACTACCTGTTGGTCATGTGACTCCTCCTTCCCGCAGGGTGTCTGCACCATCTTTGGTATTTACTACAACAAATCCCATAATGCTTTGCGAGGTTCTGAAAAGAGCATGAATTCTGTATTTATCATCTTTGATGCTAGTATATTGATGTGTATAATTAACCACAAAAAAATGTATTAGAGGGAAAAAATTGTAGGAGTGGACAATGATTGGGTAAGGGTGGCCATAGCCACCCCTGGCCCCCCAATATAGCTCCGCCCCTGTTTTAGGGGTTTGCCCCCAATTCACTCCCTTCATGGAAACAGAGAAAAGGGAGAGAACATGGGGCTGCAGTAGGGTAAAAATAGATCAAGGTTAGTATGCATAGCTTTACGCAATAAAAACTACAAATGTGGTGATCAATGACCATGGCCTGGATTGACTGACTGACTGAACAAACAGTGAAGGGAGGAGCCAGATTTGGGTTTAAACGGCCAAATCTGAGTAGTGTCAATAAAGCAGAATCACTACAGAGACAGGATGTGAGAGATTTTAATCCCACAGGAAAAGTTTCCCTTAATCCATATCTAATTTGACAACCTTCTCTAATGCACAGCCACTAATTCACCGCGATCCGCCCCCCTCCGGCTGGTTTCAAACATCTGGCCTGCTAAAAGGAGGAAAAGAAAGTGTTTCCCAGCTCGCCTAGCCCTCCGTGCGGCTAATGCTATGTAGCATCAACATCATCTCACACAGAGACTCGGCCTGGAGCAGAGAGATCCGCTAACCCCGCAGCGGCACAACACTTACCAGCCTTCTCATGGTCGTATCCGACGACGGTGAAATAGTCAGCCAACCTAGCCATGTCTGCTGATCTTCCCGAGATATACCAACACAATTCAGCATTTTCCCCCCTTCCAGAGAACAGCCATGTTTGACAGGAGGAGCGGCAGTGCGCATGCGCGTGGGGAGCTGGGATCCATCCATGGGCGTGGGCCCTTTCAGTTTACAAACATATCTAAAAAAAAACAAAACCCAAATGTTTAACATCCAGTGTTTATGCAGCAGCCACTCGGGAATATCAGTTCTAATCTTACACAGCAGATGGATTGAGGGACAGGTATAAAACAAAAATAACAAGATATATGTGAATTATAAATGCAGATTCCACATATCAAAATATATAATAAAATAGCTGCATTAAAGTTAGAGGCCTTATAGTAGCTTTCACTGTGAAGCATTTTTTCTAATAAATGAACAAATATAGAGAGTTACAAACAAGATCACGTTTTACATTGAAATGGACTATCATAACATCATAAATGCTGCAACAGAGAAAGGGAAAAATGACCAAGTAAAAGCTTTTCCAGCCTGGGGAAACTTGTCTGTCACAATCATTTTTTTTTTAAACTAAGCAACTAAAAGAGAAATAAATGAGTGCAACTATGCAACTGAGAAACGGATGGATGGATGGATGGATGGATGGATGGATGGATGGATGGATGGATGGAT